GAACGGTTCCCAAACGGTTTCTGGTCTGACTTTTCAGACAGAACTGTTTTAGAATCGGTTCCCTACCGGAATATATTTGTACTTTCACACACAAACACTTCTGTCCCATTCAGGAAACGGGGCTGAACCATTTTACCTGTAAACCACTTCCAAGTAGTCTTCAGTTTCTTCTCCCAGATCCAAAATGCTTTTTCCCACCGTTTTTCATTAAAAAAACCCCAACAGCCGGAGATCGCCCGTGCGGGCAAAAAACGGCAGGAAAAAGCAGTGCAGTCTGAAATGGCAAAAGACTTCATATCCAGCTGTTTACTGGTAGGGGAAAGCCATGTGTGAAATGGCAGCCCTATACTGGTTTACTCCACAACGGATCAAAAACGGCTTCAAACCGGCTTCAAAAGGGCAATGTGAAATTCCTCAGTGTCTTCTTGGCCTTTTTACTAAAATCAAGTGTAGTAGCCCTATTATATTCATGGAAACAAAAACATCACTGATTTCAGGTCAGATCTGGATATACATAAGCATATGAGTGAAAAACTTTGCAACTCCCCAGAAATGTCAAAATCCCCCTCAGTTTAGTTTAGCTGCAGTGTTTACATTTTTGCCACAATGCAGTGAAGACGCCAATGATGTGCATTTATATGAATTCCTTTTTCAAAAGTATCTATATCTCACTTAAATGCTGTGAAGTTTTCCTGATAATATTTTTGAACTATTTGAATACTGGTTTCAGGGGATGATATGAAAATAGACCCTGGATCTCAGGGTGATTTCTGCAAATGGAACAGAAACAATTTTAGTTAATCAACCTACCATTGAAGACCTCATGCTATTCCTGAGGGTCCCCTGTCCCACAGGAGAAGCATTTTGGGCTAAAGTGCAAAAGGGAGAAAAGGAAGGTCCAATCCACTGCTGCAAATTCCTTGGAATCCAAGCCCAAATTACATAATTATGGTGTTTTAAATATTGTGTGTTTATGTGTGTAATTAACCTAAAATTTCCATTGAATTTTAAGATTGAGGCCTGATGCATGCAACAGCCTGAATTTGTATGCTTCAGTTGTAGTAACTGGCCATCATCCATGGCATAACATTTGTGTGATGCTACAATGAGCAGAACCTCTGCAAATTTTTTAAATATGGTATGCCTTTGTCGCAAATCCGGAAGCTGCAGCTACTGCAGAATGCTGCGGCCAGGCTGTTGATGGGTCTTCCTAGGAGGGACCACATTCAGCCTGTGCTGAAAGCGCTGCACTGGCTGCCAATAGCGTACCAGATTCGATTCAAAGTGCTGGTTCTTACCTTTAAAGCCCTATATGGTCTGGGTCCAGCTTACCTAAGGGACCGCCTTTCCGCATATGTTCCCCCACGAGCACTACCGTCTGGGACGCAACATCTCCTGGCAATGCCAGGTCCCAAGGAGGCCAGGCTGGCTGCTACCAAGGCCAGGGCTTTCTCGATGGTGGCTCCTACCTGGTGGAATGAACTCCCGGAGGAGATCCGGGCCCTGCGGGACCTTGTACAGTTCCGCAGGGCCTGTAAAACGGAGCTCTTCCACCAAGCGTATGAGTAGGAGCCGCCACTACCATCACTACTGTTCCATCTTAACTTGGCCCTGGAAGAGGGAACATCAGTGTTTCCCGGAGCAAATGATGCTGAGTAGGGAGAGCAGTTGCAACAGAGCAGGTGAGATACGCCATCTTGTGGAACACCATGTTAGAGCATCTAGAGCACCTTTGTTAATTAATGTTATTGTATTCTAGTGATTTTAAATGGTTTTAAATATGTTTTATATTGGCTTATGCCTCCTGTAAGCCGCCCTGAGCCCGCGTAGCGGGGAGGGCGGGGTATAAATTGAATTAAATAAATAAATAAATAAATAAATAAATAAATAAATAAATAAATGTGTGTAGGTACCGTCAGGTCACTTCCAACTTATGGTGACCCTCCAAAGTATGCTATAACAGCCTTGCTCAGGTCTTGCAAACTGAGGGCTATGACTTCCTTGACTGAATCAATCCATCTCATCTTGAGTCTTCTTCTTTTCCTGCTGCCTTCAACTTTTCCTAGCATTATTTTCCAGTGACTCTGGTCTTCTCATAATTGTGACCACAGTACAATGAGTAATGATATAGAATTATGCAGAATTACAGTTTCTTGGGGGGGGGGATAATTTAAATTTAAGGCTCATAGAAATACATAGTTTGTTGGAAGCATGTGGAAAAACAAAAACGGCACTTAGACATATCAACAAAGGCTCTAGCAGTGCAGTTGTTGTAACTATTTAAAATTGCTCATGATACATGAAACAAAGAGGCAGCTGGATGAAAATACTTAATTAAACTTCGCAAACACAGTGACAACCAAACATGGAGAGGCAAGAAATGCAGGATGTGGTAAACTATCTTTGTCCTTTAAAATGTGGTTTCCAAAGAACAGCTGAACAAAAATGAACTACCATGGGTTAAGAAAAATTGACAAGAGGGCAAGGGGAGGACAAAATTATATTGGCATCTAAAAGTGTTTATCTAGATTCAGCCCAAATCTACCAGATTTGAGGGATTTCTTTTGACTTTTGACCCCTTTTCTCAGTCAATTTGAAAGCCACAGACTCTGAAATGGGACCAAAAAGTTTTAAAAGACTTTTAGGCCCATGCCTATTCCTGATGCTATACTATCATGACATCTACAGTTCTGATGATGCCTAGATACCTTGGATGCACCATGCAGGGAAAAGCATGAATCTTCCTGACCTGTAGCCTTTCTTTAATTTAAAATAATAATAATAACGTAATACTTTTAGAGCAGCTGAAATTCTCAATAAATTATCACAATCCTCTTTCACAGACCACATAGAGGAGAGCTATAAAAAACTAAAACAGTTACAAATAATATTAGTAATATAATAATATCAAATTATAACTTCTAAATTTTTCTAATGGCCATTATTTCCTTATTGGTGACTGTTCCCTGGAAGGCCAGATAATGAAGCTGAAGGTCAAATACTTTGGCCACCAAATGAGAAGGGAGCACTCACTGGAGAAGACCTTGATGCTGGGAAAGATTGAAGGACAAAGAAGACGGGGACGGCAAGGGATGAGATGGTTAGACAGTGTCATAGATGCAATGAACATGAAATTGAGCAAATTTCAGAGGACGGCGGAGGACCGGAAGGCCTGGCGTGATCTGGTCCATGGGGTCCCAAAGAGTCAGACTCAACTGTGCGACTAAACAACAACAACAAAATAATAATATCCATCCGCCTCCCTACTAAACCCAGCAAATCAATGTACTTTTGGAGCTTAAGTATAATTAGGATTGCCAGGTCCAGCCGCATCCCCAGCAGGGGACTCTGAGGCATTCCTTTTTTTTTTATTCCTGGACAGGGCAGGGCATCCCTAACCCAGTGACATCATATGGGGGACGTCCCTGCCCCCAAGCCCTGCCCCCAACAATGATCACCTGCAGCCACCCCTCTCCCCCCCTGCAAGATTTAAAGGGCCTGCCAATCAGATGGAGGGCCCTTTAAATCTTTCAGGAGGGAAGGGAGAGGGGCGGCCAACGGCTGCATGCTTGAGCTGCAAGCAGCAAATTGCCGCTTGGAATTCAGGCATGCAGCCCACAGCCACCCCTCTCCCTCCTCCCTGTAAGATTTAAAAGGCCCTCCAGCTGATCAGCAGGCCACGTGCTCCCCCAACTGGCTGGAGGGCCCTTTAAATCTCTCTGGAGAGGGGGGAAAGGGGTAGCTGTGGGTGGTTGTGCTTGGGGGCAGGACTTGGGGGCAAGGCTTCCTTCAGCGGCCAGCTGGCTGGCGGTGCACTGAAGCTCCCCAAATCAGGGGAAAACCCACCCAGACTGGGGGTCTGGCAACTATATGTGTAATTAAACAGCCAGTTTCTGTTTTTGATCATGAAGCCTGACATTACTGAGAAGCAGTATAAAAGCATCAGCTGTCTGCAGTAGGTCCGGAACTCATGCAAACTAGCTTGGGAGGAATCTGTTGTCAGTTAACAGTCTTTTGCAAGATTTGCCTTCCTCTTTCTCTACCCCCAAATAAACTCTCTCCAGTGACTAAAGGGTGCTGAAAAATGGCTAATCTGGAAAACTGTCCCTTTCATTTGAAGGAATAATCTACTACAGGGCTCCCCAATCTTTTTGAGCCTGCAGGAGCCTTTGGAATTCTGATACAGGATGCTGGGCACAACCATAAATGGCTGCTGCAGGAGTCAGTGCCAAACAAAAAATGGCTGCTGCAGGAGACAGCATCAACCACAAAATGTGAGTGAGTGAGATTATGCATAAATCTAATAGTAACTCTTGAACATTTCAGGAAGAAGCTCTGCTTAACTGGGTGCCTTTTAAGATGAATACACACACCTTACCTTCAGTTACAAAGTGAAGATCCTTGCGCTGTGGCAACAGCTGCTTTTTAAAAAGCAGCTTTTAAAAAATCTGCACAGCCAATCGGATCTCCAATGGTTAATCAGAAACTCTGCTGGGCAAAAGCCCATCTGGCCCCTCCCCTTTTCTAAAAACACTTGGCAGGTGTCATGGAAGGTGTCAGTGGTCACTATGATGCCAGTGGGTGCCATGCTGGTGACTCCGATCTACTGTGCCAGAGAAAAGATATCAGAGGCTATACGTTTTGGGGACTGTTCAGATCTCTGCCCCTTTCTACTCTGTAACCTTGAGCACTGTATATTGCACTGGTTGGTGCAATAATGAAATTATGCAATGTAACTATTAGAATCCTTCCTTGAATTCTGCACCAGAATCCTAGAATCCTGTATTAGAATCCTTCTTTGAATAATGACATTAAAGGTTATTAATTTTATTTGTTTAAATAAAAGACTAGACCTGAATTTATTTCATATTTTACAAGCAAGAGAGTGACACATATTCATAAATCCTCTCTGTTCAGTTGCAGGTCATCATAGCGTGGGAAAGACACAAGCTACTGATATCTAACTGGGGGATTTATGCCAGTAATCTGATTACTCCCGTATGATGGATGTGTCCACTTGGAAGGAAATGGAGGTGGCACTGGTTAGTTTTGACAACACTGATGAAGTAGTGGGAGATCCCTGTTATTCAAATGACCTCAGTGCTGCTGGCCAATCACACAAAGGCCGTTCCAGCTGTGCCAGCCTCCTATCCAATTGGAGAATTCTCATCAACAGCGAAAACAGCAACAATGAGACCATATTCTCCAAATTCTCTGCTGAGTTCAGTGACCACTTGGGACTAGAGAATGTGGGCATGGATGAGGGAGAACAGAGAGTCATCATCAACATTGCTGGGCTGAGGTTTGAGACGCAACTAAAGACTCTTAACCAGTTTCCAGACACTCTTCTTGGGGACCCTGAGAAGAGGATACATTACTTTGATTCAATGAGGAATGAGTACTTCTTTGACAGGAACAGGCCCAGCTTTGATGGGATACTATACTATTACCAATCTGGGGGGAAAATTCGGCGTCCAGCCAATGTCCCTATAGATGTCTTTGCTGATGAGATCACATTCTATGAGTTGGGAGAAGACGCCATGGACCAATTCAGAGAAGATGAAGGCTTTATCAAGGACTCAATCACTCACCTGCCAACCAATGACTTTCACAGGCAGTTCTGGCTGCTGTTTGAGTATCCTGAAAGCTCTAGTGCAGCCAGAGGTGTGGCTTTGGTCTCTGTCCTGGTTATTGTTATCTCTATTATAATTTTTTGTGTAGAGACTTTACCTGAGTTCAGAGATGAGAGGGAGATGAAGGATATCAAGGATGAAGCAAACAACTTAACCAAAGCTGTCATTGTCCCCAACACTTTCACAGACCCATTCTTTGTGATAGAAACTGCTTGCATCATCTGGTTCTCCTTTGAGTTGTTCGTCAGATTCATCGTCTGCCCCAGCAAGACTGACTTCTTCAAAAATATAATGAACATCATTGATATTGTGTCTATCATTCCTTATTTTGTGACAGTCATCACTGAGCTAATTCAGCACAGTGAGCCAAATGGCCAACAGAATATGTCCCTGGCCATCCTCAGGATTATCCGTCTTGTCAGGGTCTTCCGTATCTTCAAGCTT